GAAAAATAATATTTTTCATTAAATTAAAAATTCATCCTAAGGTTTAGCAACTTGTTTGTGCATATATGCTGGTGCATTCGAATTATTGGAATGTGTGACTTTGTCTAAAATTTAAAATGGTTTGAATTGCTTTTGAAAATGAGTTTGGAATAAAAAGAAAAAAAAACTCACCCTCTCCCTCTCCATTGGGCCTGAAGGCCTGCTCCACCCCCGCAGCCCACTCGGCCCGCTTCCTTCCCTCTCTTTCTCCCTCTTGGCATCGGCCCAGCTTCACACCGCCCGGCCCAGCAGCGCCCGCGCGACAACTCTCCTCTCCCTCTCTCCGTCTGACGTCTGGGCCATGCACCCTTGTCTCGCTGACCGGTGGGACACGCGCGTCAGTCGTCTCCCTCCTCGCGACGTGCCAAACCGGGACTCTGCCCCGAGTTAGAATCTTCGCCGCCGCCGTACTCCCCGTGATTCGGCGTGCGCGCCACACCTGGACCCCTATAAAACGAAGCCACAGGTGTCGCACCGCCCTCATCCCAAACCCTAGCTCGCAGCCGCTGCCTCTGTCGAGCTCACAACGCCGCATCCGAGCTTGAAACCCTAAAGCCGCCGCCGTCGTTCGCACCCCGCTCCGTTACTTCTCTAATGACGCGAGCCCCTCCTGAGCTTCACCGGAGGGTAAGGAACCCATAGGTACCTCTCTTGTTCTCCCTCTCACTCTGCGCCGCCTTCACAAGCTCGCCGGAGCTTCACCGGCGAGTCCGAGCCGCTCGGGCGAGCCCTGCGCCGTCACCGTGCCCTCGCGGTCCCTCCCGATCCCCTAGATCGATCCGTCATGCTCTGCTCTCCCTTCCTGTGCCCTTGTTTTGGTTGATGACGACTGGAATCGCCAACTGGGCGAACGCCGGCAAAGTTTTGGCAATGGCGCCACCATCGGGCTACTATTCTGGCCGACCGCATCTTCTCTCTCCCCCTCTCCCTTCTAATCCTGGCTGTACGTCTTAGATCCAATGGCCGAGATCACACAATACCCCTTCGTCATGGCGTTTTGCATAAGAGCCCCTGCAATTTTCTATTTCTAAACCCGCAGTCCATGACGTATTCTTCGAATACGTTTTCTCTTTCAGAAAGCGTAGTTTCCTTCGGTTAGCTTCTCAATACGTTTTGTCTTTCTGGAAAGCGTAGATTCCCTCTATTAGTTTCAAAATACGTTTTCTTCTTTTGAAAACGTAGTTACTTCGGCTAGATCCAAAATACACTTTTATCTATTTACAGTTTTGCCACTAGTTTTATTTAAGCTATAACTTCTTCGTTTTAACTCCGATTTGTCCCGTTCAAGTTGCGTTAGATTCGTAATTGAGTAATGTACATGTTTAAGCTACTGTTAAATATATTTTCAACTTTTGAAATTCGAGATTAGTTTTAATCTATTATTTTATTAAAGGAAATCTTGTTTAATTCATAACTTCTTCGTTATAGCTCAAATTTTCGTGATCTTCGCGTCTGTGTGTTCGTGGCAAGACATAGATTCGTTTTAAAAACTGTGCATCTTGATTTTATGGTTGGTGTACTATTCTAATTTATTTCTATTGTTTGCTTCGTATATGATTGCATGGATGTTTATGTGGTGCGTTATGATCTTGTCCAGTCGGTAAGCTATATGTGGTGAATCGAGAAGTAGTTCATTGAAGGTTTTGACTTGAAGAAGGATCTAAGTTTTAAGACAAGTATAGCATGTGATCTTTCTTGTTGTCCTATTCACTTTAATAATTTAATCATATGCATGTGTCTACCTTGGCAACCGTAGCAAATTTTCCTAGCTATTTGATATCTTGGATTCCTTGTCACCTATGGGGTACTGCATTGGGTAGTATGATGCTAGTGCTTAACTAAAGCCATGATCTTGTAACTTGACTAATGGAATATGCAATAAAAACTAAAAGATGACTTTTTAGCAACATGGTTAAAGGGGACTGGAGTGTTTGGCTACTTTTTAGATGCTTTAGATTTCTCTCCTTAAGGACTTATCTATAAGTGATCATCTGAGACTTACAATACAACTATGAGGGCCACATGGCTTTGGCTTTAGCTCAGTACAAGGACCTTTTCTAGCTTATTAGTGGTTACCTTTATGGCGCAAGAGGGGCTCCGATTGGTTTGATTCGGCGGCCTACCAAGGGAGTGCACTTTGGTTTCTTTGTCTTTTTGTTAGTCACACCTTGGGGGAGGGATCTTACTGGTTGATGGGGAATCCTTAGCGGCCCTAACTTGTTAGACGAAACTTTGAAAGGCTTCATAGTATACCCTGCTTGCTCACCTTGGAAGTGTTTTGGGAGTAATTAACCTGGGCATATGGGTATCACGACTCACAGTGAAAGTGTACAACATCTGCAGAGTGTAAAACTGGTATATCAGCTGTGCTCACGGTCATGAGCGGCCTTGGAATCCTTACGGAATAGATGATGAACACTGATGATAAAGATGCTCACTAATGATTACTGTTTATGTTATATATTATTCATGTTTACCTGATCATGTGTTTACGTGGGCCTGTGAATAAACTTGTTGGTACTCAATTGCTAAAACTATGACTCATTAAAAGCTAATCGCAGTTAAACCAGTGTCAGCCTTTTGAGCCTCATGAACCTTATGTTATATTTGTTGAGTACGACATGTACTTACGCTTGTTTTACTTTTTAAATCTTTGGAAAAATCCCAGATGGATACCAGATTGCTAGAGTTTGAAGAAATTAGGCTTGTGATCAACTAGTCAGTTGTCCCTGTGAAGTTAGAGTCTTCACCTGAAGATCGGAGTTATCTTTCCGCAGTTTGCTATCTAAGGTTATATCTCTTGTAATAATACATTATATTAAACATTGTCTTTCGATATTACCCTTATTTGTAGTTGTATGTGGTATTTGACTTTCTGAACTCACATATGGTGTGTATCTGATTTTGTTCTTAAAACCGGGTGCTACACTGTGAACTATGGTATTTGATCTGCCTTGAATCCTAAGCTATAGCCTATAATATGGTCTAGAATTGAAGCCTGCACTGTTAAAGCTATTTTTAAAACCTAGCTCAGTTTCTGATGGTGGTTTTGCATGCGGAGGTTTAAAAAATGAAAATCTCGTTATCTGTATAGAAGTATACGTCATGTTGCAAAATGAGGACCTGTAAAAAAGAATCATCGACCATTTCTTCTTGCACAATAATTATGGACAAGTATAGGTGATGTTGCAAAATGAGGGCCTGAAAAAAGAATCACCCACCATTTCTTCTTGCACAATAATTATGGACAACTGAGCATTTGTTTTTAGAGAAACTTTATTATGGTTGAAACAAAACAGGTGCTCGTACGTCTATTTGTTTTTTTTTTGAGAATTCGTACGTCTATTTGTTATCTATGTTTCCACATAGGGAACAAACTGCCCTGTTTCTTTTGAAAAAAAAATTATCTTTGAGATATCTAGCCTGTTCGCTTGTTGGTTTCAGCCAGCCCAAACCAACACCAACACCAACCAGCGAACAGACCCATCGCATGGTCACCATGATTTATTTTGGTCATGCTTTGAGGGTCAAACACCATCCTCGAGAACCGGTGTAGGGTATATATACACAGACAGTTTTCTGAATTTCCATTACACCAGCCAGCATTATTAGGGGCGGCTGCCGACCCTACGTAAAAAAAATACAATTCTAGGATTCGGCCGGATCCTAATGGAGTACTCTCTCCATAAAAAAATGAAAAAAAAATGTAATTCTAGGTATTAATATAGGGGGTACTAGTTTAGGATTCAAATAGATCAGGCACTGAAATTTAGGATAGGGAACTGGGTTTTCTAATGGTCTATTTTGCCTCTTTAATTTCTGACTCCGAACACATCTCGATTATGTAGGCTCGTCATTGGAACTAAGAAGGGAATAGAAGTCCTGGAAATTGACATGGAATCAGTAGCATGTTAGCAACAGAGGACATGCGCACAAAATTGGCCATCGCTTTTGTTATTTGTCTCCTGTGTATCTGCTTGTTCGCTTGTTGGTTTCAGCCAGCCCAAACCAGCCAGCCAACAGTGTTTTCCTCTCACAATAAATCAGCACCAACCAGCCTAAATCAATCCAGAAACCAACCAGCGAACGAGTCGATATGTGTATGTTTGTGTGCCCGGCGATCAAGGACAACTCTGATGAAATGAATGCCAAAAGTGAACAGAATATTTTCAGGATGATAAGCTCTTGGCGTAGAAACAGAAGTTATTATATATACACGTACTGCATGTTGCAGCAGAGAAGCATATAAGATGATCAGATTTGAGTTCTCGGAATCATTGTGTTCCCTTCGCATTGATAATTAGAAAAAAGCAGCTGGTTTGGGGGTTGTCGAGGAGAAGTGGGTGCAGAGATTTGTCTACGGGCTTCGGTGGGCCTAGTTGTGTGGCTGCTAGAACCAGCAGAGAAAGACAGATAGACACAACCTGACTGTTGGTCCAAGCCTAATTAAGTTCATTCTTCTTCTGGACCAGGAAAATCTACTCTCCTCGTATTTGCATTTGTATACAAGAGATTATGTCTCTATAAAAATACTCATAGTATTGCTCGCAAAAAAAATTACTCATTAGTATCTTGGCCGCCTGCATGCTTTTATGGGGGGCTGTTTGGTTGACGGAGCTACCATTACTACCACAATGAGATTATGTTTATTTCCCTTTATTGGCCTAAGGCTCATGCCTGGAGCTGGCCGGTGTTTTCCCACCAAAACAGCAGCGGATAAATGTCAGATGCATGTAAATCTAACTGAATAACAAAACATTTTCTGTAGCATAACAAAGTTCACAAGTCCTCGACTGGAAATCAGCTCTGCTTTCCAGTTTTCCACCACACAAAACAGAGTATAGGCTCAAAAAAAGAAAAGAAAAACAGAGTAGATAGTTCTTGAAACTGAAATCTTCGCCGTTCCACTCTTCCCCAGCAATCTGCTCGTCTCCTTGCAATTTGCAACCTTGGTGCTGTGGATGACGCTCGGAGTGAGCGCTCTCTCCTGTCGCTGCCCACTCCCCTTCAAAGGTACTGCCCACCATCCATCTTCCAGCGTTTTTGGCTCGCCGAATTGATTTTCTACATCCGGTTGTTTCACTTTGTGGGAAATTCATTCTCCGCCAACCATATGGACTCTTTTCCGGCCCTTTGCCTGTTTCGGAGATATTTAGGGTTAATTATATATATGGTCTCGTGATGTCCAGCCCATGGCTGTCCTCTAATAAAATGCAGGTGACTGAATTCAATCATCTACTATTTGTTGGGGATGTTTCCTTTTCGCCAACCACAAGCATGGCAGTGATTGGAGGAACAGAAAAATAATGGATTAAATATCTTCAGAGGTTACTGTATCAGGTGCCGATTCGTTACTGCAAGGCATAGAGAAGGGGGGATACCCCCCTATTGTTATATACCTAAAATCGATTTCAAATGTTCAACGAAATCAATCAAAAAGACACATAGTATAAAGTGTAACCTTATAATACAGCCCCTTCATCCAGACACCGCAATTGGTGTTGTAGTACATAGTCTATCACAATTTATGTTCATGTCAGAGATAGGAAAGATGAACCTAGGACTATTTCCTTTCTCTGTGTAAATTGACCTTCTTGCATGTGTTTACTGTTTGCATTATCATGTGGCAATGTTTGAACCTATCATTATTTTTTAGAGACCATTGCTTATATCATTCTGGTACCCTTACATTGACATATAATACTTGATTAGGTTGGAAACTGCAAAGCTCGGTTGCTACATGGAAATATATGCGGTCTCGCCGACACCGACTTACTGTAAGCACTGTTCTGTCACATTAGTGACTTTACTAACTTACAATATATGCATATGACAAGCATACATTGTTTTATACTGAAGGAGGTCATAACATTTGCGACAAAGAACACTAAGAGGAAAAAGGAGAAGTTTTCAAAACGAGTCAGAGGATTCGCTGTTGGTAAGTGAGGAAGCTTCTTCGGGCAGTGGAGGAAGTGCCAGCACAAGCCTCGAGGTCAATAGCGAGGATGTTGCTATTGATGATCAAATTTCAGGTGCCCCAAGGACTGCTGTTCTTCAGGCTTGCACTCTCACATCAGGCTTGCTGCTTGCTGGAGGGATTCTGCTTCGCCGGGTAAAAACGGTATTGTTCTCTAGAATAAATTTCAGTGCTTAAGACCACTCTGAATGTAGCTTTGGTTTAAGTTATACTAAGCGCATATAAGTTTGTGCACTGCTACAACGTTTGCACTTTTCAGTATCCTGAACTCTTTATGAACCCACATTGCTTACTTTCTTGCATCTCTATGACTGTATCAAGCCCGAATTTCATATAATAAAATTGGCTGGTTGTATACCACAGGCGTCACACCTTGTATCTTTAAATGGATGGCCAATTGCTGATCCTACAGATGTGTCACGTAAGTTTTTTTTACATCTTTGCAAATAAATGAGATTTTAATGTAATATTGCTGACTAGGCAAATGTCTTCTAGCATATTAACTTAGCTACTGCTTTTCTGCAGTCAATTTTGAAACTTGGCATCTTGAGTTGGTTGCGGGGCTTGTAATAGTAATATCCTCGGGTAGATACATTCTACTACAAACATGGTCAGATTTCAGAGATTCCAGTGAAGCTGCAAATAGACAAGTATGTAACTATCAACTATGCATACTTTGAATATCTTTTGAGTTGTCGCTTTTCTTGGAGTTATTGGTTTCACATTTCAACATGCTGATAAAGAACATAGCTATTGATTTGTTTTATAGAGGTTCAGCATAATGAGAAGCATTCTGTTAAACACTGAAAGATATTAACTTGTATAAACTTTCAACTGTTTTGCTCCAATCCCCCCTCTTAATGAAATACATGCGAAGGCCCGTTTGCTAAAAAAAACACTGAAAGATATAGTTGTTTGTATATGCTCTAGTCTTTTACCCTAATGAAAATAAAGTTCGGGAGTGCCTTGCGCCAACAGAGTTAATTATATTGGTGTGACAAAAAGAACTCTCTTTGCATGCAGTCTTCCACCAACCTATTCTTTACTCCCATCAATTTTGCATATTCGTGACTACAAATCCAGAGTTCCAGACATGCAGCTGCAGGATACTAGGATCTCTTTCCATTCTATTGTCAACAATTAGTGTGTAATATCTTCTCCTGAAATCATTTTTGGACTCGAACCTCTCAAGGTTACTCAGCATTTTTAGATACTGCAAATCTCTTGTTGAAATCCACACTTAATTATTTTATTTTCATCAATTAGATCCTTACATCGCTAGAGCCTCTGGACTACATTGTTGTTGCTTGTCTCCCTGGGATCAGTGAGGTGAGCTCATCAATGAAAAAATATTGCTTAACACTGGCTTGGTTAATAAAGTAACTTTTTTATGTACACTTTACATATAACAGGAGTTGCTCTTTCGAGGGGCGATGATGCCTATCTTGGGATTGAACTGGATTAGTGCCCTTATTATTGGAACCATTTTTGGTGTTCTTCACTTGGGCAATGGCAGGAAATATTCGTTTGCAATCTGGTACATGCATTTCTGCAGTATTTTTGCATGTGTGCAACAGAAAAAATGTACTATTTACTGCTATACACATAAGTGTTAACATGGCGATAAGATTAAGATATATTCTTATACAATTTTTTATGTTTCCAGGGCAACATTTGTTGGCTTTGCCTATGGTATAGGAACCATAGCTTCCTCAAGCATTATAGTTCCAATGGCTTCACTCCATAAACAATATTATCGGAGGTTTACTTTGGCGCGTTACCAAGAACTCACAAAAGTAAATATACATAATACCCTTAATAGTCATCCTTGTAAGATCTTGCACAAGTTTAGACTTTTTAGTCCTTAGCCTTATTAGTCATATAGTCAGTATTAGTGTCCCATTATTGCTTCACCTATGTATTTTCTGTAGCTTATAGTAGTTTTTCATTTTTCTTACTTTTCCTACTACCATATGGAAAATGAAGTTAAAAGATGACTACTTAGTACTTACCTGTGAAAAACAGAATGTGGAGTCATGGACTCATGGTCTACAGAATATAACTTGCAATGAGCTTGAAGCTATTCTTTACTTAATGGTTACGACTTACAAGTTACAACCATAGTTAGCTCTGAGATTGTCAAATTCTGAGCTGTTGCTTCGATAACAAACATAAAAAAAAACTATATCAATGAAATTTTCCTTCCAGTGTTCATCCATATACAAGATATATAGTCAGACTTCACCGGTAATAATAAAATGAGGAAGTTGCTGTGAAATCAGGATTTGCATCGTTGTGGGGGGACAAAAACAAATAACTGAAAACATATTGTCCATGCCATGTTCTTCATTGAGTTCAAATTATCCGCAACACCTTCCACAAACTGGTGGACAGGAGATTGCTGAGCAAGCAGTGCTCTGGGTGATGGCTGGAGACTCTGGGAGAGGTTTTGGGTTAGATACTGGATATGACTGTTTAGATCCTCAAAGGCCCATATTATTATGTGTTAAAAAAACGAAAACGGTGAGGGCGTCGGTCCGCCTGGACGCATCTTGATGGCCTTGTGGATCGGCCCAATGAGCCTGCTCCCTTCTACCAAATTAACTGGACGCCTCGACAGCTTCTAAAAAAACTAGATGTTGTGACATTTCCCCACTCTGTCTCGCAGTGTTCTCCACCGCCGCACCGCGCTGCCCGCTCGCCGTGGCTGCCTCCACTGAGTTGGCGAGCCTCCTCGCCACCGCCAGGGTCTGGCTACTTGCCAGTGTCGCTGGCTGGCCGGGCCAACCTAGCAGCAGCCGCACAGGCGCTCGGACGCCGCATGTGGCTAGGCAGCTAGGAGAGAGGGGGCTGTCGCTGGCCGGGCCCAGGCCAGGCGCAGGTGCTGCTGGCCGCTGCCAGACCACGCCACCATCCTCAGCTGTCGGCTGGCTGGAACCGGCTGTTCCCCGCTCTCCTCTGCGTCACACGGAAGAAGGGTGAAAAAACGCATGTTGCAAGCTACGTTTCTAAGTGTTTTGGAGGTATATTGCAAGTGTTTCACATGGATATTGCAAAAGTAGATCAGGATGTTGCATATGTTGCAATGGTTATAGACGTATATTGTAACCGTCTGTTTCCAATGTGTTTTCGGAGGTATGTTGAAAAAGTGTGTTTGTCTGGATGTTATATATATTTCACACATACGTTACAAGTGTTTTATCTGTATGTTACCTATTTTTTGGCCTTCCGTTCCTGCTCCTCCCTCAGGTCGGGCGTGCTCCACTGCCATCCCCAAGGGATATGGGGAAGCGCAAGCCCATGCCTTCCGCCGCCGCTCGAGGTACGAAGCCCTGCCCCGAACCGATTCGGCGCCACCTCCTCCCCTCCGTTCGAGCTTTCCTAACGTGCCTTTTCCCTCCTCGTGTTGCTGTTGCTGTCGTCACAGGACCGAAGAACCGGCCAAAGAGGCCAAGGTCCGCGAAGCAGGGAGCTGAGTTACGGGAGGAGAATCCCCAGCTGTCGGAGCACGATGACGGTCTGATCCTCTTCTTCTTGCGTTGGGTTCTCTAGGTCCAGTGAATAGCGGAAAATCCCTAATTGACTCTTAACTTCACGTGCAACTCCTTTGCGTGGCCCTCATTAGATTACGCATCTCCATTCTCCAATGCTCTGCATCTAGTAGTAAGAAGCTTAAGTTGCTAGTTTGTGCCACCAGAGAGTTTTATTCTGGTGTTACTCAACTGACGACAAACATAAACTCAAATTTCTTTGCATAGTGAGGTGCAATCGCACCATCGGCCTTCCTCCACTCTCTCTCACTTTTTTGCTTCCTGCGACAAAATAGTGCTCACGCTCATTCTTACTGGACTTAAGCATTGTGTGCGGCAGAAATTGTAGATACTGAATCTAGAGTAGCAGGGACTGTTCAACGTGATAAAAAAGCGAATGGGAGCTTTCAAGGCACAGTGCAGAGTGATGACGAGGACATAGAGGATGAGTATGAGGCTCCTAGTGGTGATGCGCCAGGTGATACAATAAACAATGGAAATGATTGTTTTGATGAAACAGAGACTTCATGGTTAGTGCTGCATATATGATTTGTGTTAGTAGTTATCTTTTTAGACTGATCTGAGTAGGTTAGCCCTCATGAGTCATGATTTTTGTTGTCTGGGTATAGTTGAATTGGTGATTTTTCGTTGAAATTCCATCCATTATTATCAGTAAGCAGAAGTGATAAAAGATGCTTATCCTTTCTATATATTGGCCATTTCCTGTTCTCGCATGCATTGTGTAACACCTTAAAATTTGCTTATTTGGAAATAGAGTTAAAATGATTTAATTATGAATTTTTGTGCTCATAAAAACATAGGAAAACAAATTTTTTCATTAAACTAAATTTTATCATAGGGTGTAGCAACATTTTTAGTGCATTCATACTGCTGCATTCTTATTTTGTATTGAGTGGTTTGTTTCAAAATTCAAAAGAGAATTTAGGATTTTGGCGTGCGCACCACGCTTATAACCCCTATAAAAGCAAGGCCCTATGCTCGCTCCACCCCTATCTAGCTCTAGCGCAGCTACTGCCGCCTTAGCCGAGCTTGCAGCGCCACGAAACCCTAGCCGAGCAAGCCGCCGCAGCTTTTGTCGCCGCTCCGCTGCTTCTCCGTCGCCATGAGACCTCTCCATCGCTGCGGATTTAGGTAAGGAGGCCGCCGCTACCCTTTGCGCCCTTCCTCTCGTTCTCTACCTCACGCTTCGCATTGCCGGGGGTTCGCTGAACCACCGGAGCCCCTCGAGCAAGCCCCGAGCTGCCTCCGTGCCATCGCGGCTCTCTCCAACCCCACATACGGGCTCACTGTCTCCTCCTCTACCTCCCTGTGTTTTTCCTGAGGTCAGAAGCACTTGGAATCATCGTATTGATGAACGCCGGCGAGCTCGTCGCCGCCGGCCATGGCAAACACCGTGCCGGCACTGTTCATGCAGGCAGCCTTCTCTTCCCCTCCCTTGTTTTCTAATCTGGGCCATCCATCTTCAGATCCACGGCTGAGATCAGCCCATACCCCTTCGCCGGTCGTTTTTGCAAAAATGCCCTCCTGATTTTCTATTATCAAACCTGCAGTCCTCGATCTGATTCGAAATTCAGTTTTATTTATTTTTACTCCAAAAATCAGATCCCATATTTACCATTTTGCCACCGATCTTGTTTTACTCATAAAATCTTCGTTTTAAATCCGTTTTGACCCGTTCAAGTTGCGTTAGATTCGTAACAATGTAATCTACACGATAGTAACATTGTTTACTATGTTTTGTGCTTCCAAATAAAATATTAATTGAACAATATATATGCAATTGGCTTTCCAATTAAAAGCAACTTAGTTTTTCCACTTCGATCTTTTCCGAATGAAATATGATTAGTTTTACATTGTTTTCCCAATTCAAATAGAATTTGACTTAATTCAATTCAGGTGTTTCTCTGAAATATCTTACACATGCTTTTATATAGTTAAAATAAATGAAGCTTAAAACTTTCTCCTTCTCTTCAGAAGTAAATCTTTCGGTAGATGTTTCTTTTGCACTGTAGCTTCAATTAGAGTGCTTTTCACGTCCATGTGTTCATAGCAATGCGTAGATTAGTTTTTAAACCTTTCTATTGATTGGTGTACTGTTCTAATCTAGTTGTATTTGTATGCTATGCATGTTTGTGCTTGGATGCTTGTGTGGTGATTTATGACCTTGTTCAGTCAGTGAGCTTTACGTGGTGAACCAGAAGCAGTTCTTCGAATGTTTGGACTCGAAGAAGGATATGAGTTTTAAGGCAAGTATAGCATGGGATCATCCTTGTTGTCCTATACATCTTTAATCATTTAATTCATACTGCATGTGTCTACCTTGACTATCACTAAGGATTTACTAGTACTTTGTTACCCTATACCTTGATTCCTATGGGTTTATACATTTGGGTAGTATGAAGCTAGCGCTCAATTAAATACCATGATCTTGTAACTTGACTAATTGTATATGTAATAAACACTAAAAGATGTTTTTTAGCAACAAGGAACAAGGGGGCTAGAGTATAGTTTTTATGATGCTCTAGATTTCTCTCCCTAAGGACTTATTTGTAAGTGGTCAACCAGAACTTACAGTACAACCATGAGTGCTACATGGCTCTGGCTTTAGTCAAGTATGAGGACCTTTTCTAGCTAGTTAGTGGTTACCTTTATGGCGCCAAAGGGGCTTGCCGAGTCAGGTATAGGACAGCCTCTGTTCCTATGTGTATAGCCATGAAGGATTTGTGCCATTCGAAATAGGGGTTCTTACATCTGCTTGCCAATTGGAAACCTAGCGGCCCTAACTTGTTAGACAAACCTTTGAAAGGCTTCATAGTGAACCCTGTCGTCCTTCCTTGGTAGTGGGTCAAGAGGTTGGCCGCCTCGGGCGAAAGGATAAATCACAGCTCATGGTTTGTCCCCTTTCATCCTTTTCAAGGCTTCTCTGACCTCCGATTCTTGAATCCTTTACACAAAGCGCCTGTTAGTGTCATCAAACGAGTCATCTAGCTGAACGGTGGTGTTCTCGTTCTCACCATTGAACAATTTATCAAAATACTCTTGCCATCTATGTCCGATCTCATCCTCCTTCACCAAGAGCTGCTCTCTCTCATCCTTTATGCACTTGACTTGGTTGAAGTCCCTTGTCTTCCTATCGTGAGCCCTAGCCATCATATAAATGTCATTTCCTCCTTCCTTCGTACTCAAATATCGGTAAAGGTCCTCATAGGCTCGCCTCTTTGCCTCCCTCACCACTCGTTTTGTAGTCTTCTTTGTCATCTTGTACTTCTCTATGTTGTTTGCACACCTGTCATGATACAAGCGCTTATATCACTCCTTCTTTTCCTTAATAACCTTTTGCACATCTTCATTCCACCACCAAGTGTCTTTCGAGTCGCATCCGCTCCCTTTGGTCACTCCAAGCACCTCTAAAGCAACTTTCCGAACGTATGTTGCCATCTTCTCTCACATGCTGTTTGCATCGCCTTCATCATTCCAAGGGCCCTCTTCAATGACCTTTTTCATAAAGACCTTTGATGCCTTCCATTCTAATTTCCACCACTTCATTCTAGCAACCCTAGCTTGTTTGTTCCCATGAGCTTGCACCAGAAAGCGGAAGTCAGCCACCACAAGGTTGTGTTGAGCGACCACACATTCTCTAGGTATCACCTTACAGTCCACGCATATTCGTTTATCCCTCCTTGTAAGGACAAAGTCGATTTGACTAGAGTACTGGCTGCTACTAAAGGTCACTAAATGGGACAGTCTCTTACGTAAGAAAGTGTTAGCTATCATCAGATCAAAAGCTATGGCGAAGTCTAAGACTTTCTCTCCCTCCTGGTTCCTACTACCATATCCGAAACCCCCATGAACCGCCTCGAAACCTGCACTTGATGTACCTACATGGCCATTAAGATCACCTCCTATAAAGGGCTTCTCGCTACTAGGGACAGCTCTAACCAAGCGATCTAAGTCTTCGCAGAAAAGCCGCTTAGCACTCTCATCATGGCCTACTTGGGGGCATACGCACTAATTACGTTTAAGACCATATCACTAATGACAAGTTTAACTAAGATGATCCTACCCCGTTGCCTTCTCACTTCCACTACACCATCCTTGAGGCTCTTATCAATCAAAACTCCTACTCTATTTTTATTTGAAGTTGTCCCTGTGTACCAGAGCTTGAAGCCGGTATTGTCCACCTCCTTCGCCTTTTGCCCCTTCTATTTAGTCTCTTGGACGCATAAGATATTTACATGCCTCCTAACCGCTGTGTCCACTAACTCTCTTAACTTACCTGTAAGGGACCCTACATTCCAACTATATAAACGGATTCTAGTTGGCTCGACTAGCTTCCTTACCCTTCGCACCCGCCGAGGTAGGTGTTATCCTACATTACCAGATATTTTTAGTTGTACTTTAGTGTGTTATCCTGCATTTGTTTTGCAATATTTTCTTTGTAATGTGTGTTGTCAAGAAGAAAAAGACATAATTATGTGAGGTGGATAGGGTTATAAGAACAAATTAAGCTGTCTTGACAGTTAGACTCCTCACGTTTACTCAAAATTTATGAGGAATTATGTTTTATATGTGATCTGTAGAGCTCGGCTACATTATCCTTTTGTATAATTATAAACCATGTCATGTCATGCTTCTTAAGATGCATGTGACCTTTATGTTGATTCCCTGATTTCTCAAATATGTAGGAAGATAGGAGAACACCTCACACCCATTAGGGAGGGGTGACTTTCATATATATAGCCACAAGTTTAATCTTGTCCTAGCCCCTCTTTAAGATACATCATATTAATCCTGTTTTCTTTTGTCTAAATATATTTTTAGGTTCTTTTCTTGTTACCTCTCAAAAGTTTTGCGCGATGCATTGTGAAGAGATTGATCCAGCTTTCCCCATTGCCACAAAAGGTAAAATTTTCATTTTCTTATATTTATATGCAATGATTTAGGTTCTGATTTCTTCAAGACGCGA